CTCTAAAAATTCAACCAAGACTCATTTTAGACTTAGAATCACCCCCTGAATCCAACGGTGCCCTCGGAATTCCATTTCGAGCACCGGAACCTCGTTTGTTGACCAAAGTCAACTCTTGATCAAAATTTCACAATTTTTGCAACTTAGGACCTCAAATCTTCGTTTTAACTCCAAATTCAACTCCGTAAATTCTCATAGAGCCGTTTCGACATTCTAAAACTGCTGGAATCGACGGAAATCCGATTCGAGTCTCGAAACTCCAAATGACTCGAAATAGCACTTTTAACCAAACTTTAACTCTTAAAAACTCAACTTTCCAAAAACTCAACTTTTCATCAATTTTCCTTCAAACCAACTTCGAAAATACAACAATTAGGACTCGGGGCAACTATCGGGAGGGGTAAAACGGTCATTTTATGAAAAATTCCAAAAATGACCTTTTGGGTCATTACAGCAGCCATATCAGCATAACCAAATTTGTTAGCCAGAAAGAGCTTCCTGTCCTTGAGATCATTATCAAGAATTTTCAACATCTCACAAATTTCCTCTTTAGCTTTCTCATGCTCTTCTGCCTTGCGTAAGAATGCATTTACCACCACGGCCACCTACAAAATATAATAATACTACGCCTCAATCTCAAGTAAGTCAGATCGAGTCGGCTATTTATGCAAATAGGTATATATAGCATGAAGATAAATTTACCTTATCGTCAAGGAACTTAGCCCAAAAAGGAGCTAAAGCTCGATCATAAGGGTCTTTAGGTAAGATGGAAGGGCCTTCAAATGTCTCGTCAATGTATTCAACAATCACCAAAGATTCACAAATTGGCTTGCCATTGTGAATTAGCACTGGAATTTTCTTGTGAATTGGATTGGATTCAAGAAGCAAAGAGCTTTTGTTATTTCGATCTTCTTCAATATATTCATAGTTTACACCCTTAATCTTTAGAGCCCACTCAACTATATGACTAAATGGGCTATACCAAAAACCTAGCAACTTCACTTGTTCCATATCACAACTTTGGCTATAATTGTTTGCTAATTTACTATGTTAAAAGAAAATTTAGTGGTGGTTATAATTATTCTCTCTTGAATTATGGTCTTCTTTTATAGAAAGAAAATTTGAGGGAGTGGTTGAAGGTTCTTATAAATATATTTTATTATTTACCTGACATTGAACGACCTATGTAAGCACTTGGCTAACAAACATAAAGACGTGTATGCATTCATCACGTTCATGAGGTAAATTTATTCAAAAAGGAATAATTTTACTTTTGAAGTTGTAATTCAAATTTGGAAAACTGATTTAAATTTAACTCACTTTTCATTTTTAAAGTCGTATTAATTAAGTACATTTTCACTTTTATATTCTTGTATTACGTAAATATCTTTATTTGTGATATCGTCATATTTAGATACTTATATTTTAAGTTCTGTGATAATTATAGAATACCTTTTTCAAGTTTTTATTTTCTTCATTCTTGTTAATTAGTAAAGATTTGTTACCTCATTAAGAATAGTAAGATAAGATCTAGCCCTCTCTCTATTTGAGGTTTCAGTTTCTATTTATTAATTAAAAAAAATTAACCATAGGCACCTTAAATAAAGGATTAGTTTTTTTTTTTCAAAACGTACAATCAAACATAACTCCATCTTCAACTTTAACTATATAGATTTTAAATAAAATAAAAAATATTCGAAATATATGGCCCAAATGTCTACTTAGTTGCTCATATTAATTTCAAATAAAATTGTCGGGTGAAACCATCGTGATTTTGAGGGATTTTCCTCACTTATTTACGAAAGCCATGGGATGATCTTACTTTTCTGCATTCCTCCCTTACGAGTAGAACACTAGAGATGCCCAACGTAATGAGTTACGGGATCGATCAGTACGTATAATCTCACAATGATTCACGTTATTTTTGGGCATTTAGGAGCCATAATATTGGAATGAGGCGATTTTTTCAATTTTTCGTGTGTGTTAGTCTATGAATATTTGGTAAAATAACATATGATCGATTTTTTTGAAAAACATTATCAGACCTTCCGTAATAAGTTGGGGGAGCAGTACACATAGCCTCACCATGATCTATGGAATTTTTGCGCATTTAGAAGCCATTTTATAGGAATTAGGCGATTTTTTAATTTTTCGTGTGAATTAGCTCATGAATAGTTGGTGAAATGACTTCTAATCGATTTTTAATTATTTTTTACAAGATACACCGTAAGGAGTTGTGAGAGCAGTACGTATAGCCTCACCATGATCCACTATATGTTTGGACATTTAAGTGCCATTTTACAAGAATTATGTGATTTTTTTCAATTTTTCGTGTGCCACTAAATAGTATGCCCAGTGGCAATTTATTTAATAAGTACTCCCTTCATTTCATATTAATTTAATTTTTGAGGTGTTTCACACCCTTTAATAAAAGTAGATTAAGATATAAATTGAACATAGTTTTCCATTTTTACCCTTATTCATTATTGTCAAATTTATTGAAGTCATCACATTGAAAATCCAAATAAAGGGTAAAATTGGAAGAACACTCTAAAAGTAGTCTTGAAAACTGAACAATTAAATTAATTTGAAAAAATGAAAATGCCTTAAAAATTCAATTAATATGGAATGAAATGAGTAATAAATTTAGATCCACACCGGTGAGAAGTACAAGCAAGTGGGGCAATATTTTATTTTTTTCTTTTGCATACCAATACATAATTGAATCTATTGAAATCAATGGAGATTCACAATTTTATTCAGACAAATAATTTGGAACTTCAAAAGATGAACACGTACAAGTAAGTGGGGGCAACATTAATGAAGTACAAATATGATTAAAACACATAATTTGAAACTTTAAAAGATGAATCGGAATGTATTTATTTTTGAGTAGAAGCAGAAGCTGCAGCTGCAGCTTGAGCACGAACGAAAACTTGAAAAAAAGCAAGCAAATCATTTCTCGAAGGTAGATATTCCTTGACTTGACTGCAATTAACGTACTCATCTCTCCAACCACAAAAATTTGGAAATTTTTCACTTGTTACTAATTCAATTCCAGAGCCTTCTTGGAAAACTCCAAGCCAAAGTCCAACCAAATTTGCAACAATATCAGCATATCCAAATTTGTTAGCCACAAAGAAAGTTTTGTCTTTGAGCTCATTATCAAGAATTTTCAACATCTCACAAACTTCCTCTTTAGCTTTCTCTTGCTCCTCTCCTTTGCCTAAGAATGCATTTACCACCGTAACCACCTACACAAAGTACAATGATACTACGCCTCAATCTCAAATAAGTCAGAGTCGACTATTTATATAAACTCTCATTAATCCATATTATTTTATATACAAAATTATGAAAACTATATAAATTCTCATTAACAATATTATTTTATATACAAAATTATGAGAAGTGTTTCAAGCTCTTTATATTTTCTATATAATAAGATCTAAAATAAATGTACTAACATATTGAATGAAGACGAATTTACCTTATCATCAAGGAACTTAGCCCAAAAACGAGCTAAAGCACGGTCATGAGAGTCTTTAGGTAAGATGGAAGGGCCTTCAAATGTCTCGTCAATGTACTCAAGAATGACCATAGAATCACAAATGGGCTTGCCATTGTGAAAGAGCACTGGGACTTTCTTGTAAATAGGGTTCGATTCAAGAAGTAAAGAGCTCTTGTTATATCGATCTTCTTCAATATATTCATATTTTACCCCCTTAATCTTTAGAGCCCACTCAACCCTGTGAGTAAATAGACTATACCAAAAACCTAGCAACTTCACTTGTGCCATATCACAACTTTGGTTATAATTGTTTGCTAATTTACTATGTCAAAGGATATTTTAGTGATGATTCTCTCTTGAATTATGGTCATCTTTTATAGAAGGAAAAATCAAGGGAGTGGTTGAAGGTTCCTAACTTTTCCTCTATTTTTTTTAAAAATTCTTCTTATAATATTATATTTTCGTTTACCTCGAATCAAACGCTGTGCAAGACTTGGAAAGAGAAAATATTACATTAAATTAGTTCATGTTTGTTCAAATTCACTGAATGACCTGCGTAAGCACTTAAGCTAACAAATAATTAAATAATACTCCCTCCGTCCAACCATAGTTGTCCATTATACTATTTTAAAATGTTCAACATTAATACTTGTCCACAGAGACGAATTTAGAATTTTTCAAGCATGGGTGCACCAAGAAAAATATATTAAAGGAGAATTAATCCGAACATGGGTGCACGAAAAAAAAATATTAAGTGGAAATTGATCATTATTCCTCAAGGTGAAAAGCTCAACATTTAATCATATGAACCAGTTAGACTTCTTATAGAATAGGTGCCAAAATATAATATTATACAAATTTTAGAAAATATATACATAAATTATCTAGTTTTACAGAAAGACCACGAGTTCCGGTACCCTATTTTTTGTGTATAAATTCGTCACTGCTTGTCCACTTTATGAAATCAATGAATAATTTGATATTTAGTTCTTAATTTACCCTTAATATTAATTATAGTCATTTTTCTATTATATTCAAAGGTGTGATATAATAAAATTACATTTCTATTTATAGTTTCTTAAAGTAAATAAATATTATTGAACAAAAAGAGTATATATACCGAATGATTATTAAAATAATGAAAGAAATTTCAAGTACGTCAAAACAAAGTACTTTTGACTTGTGTATATTGTAATAGGAGTATGGTTCAAGATAATTTCGTCACTACAAACGATTACTGAATTTTAGTCACAAAAATACAGTTTTTTTTAACATATTAAAGTAATTTGAAATATGTTTAAAATATAGATGATTGAAAACTCAAAACTATGAAACCAGGATAATGTCTTTTGTTTTATAAAATATGGGTAGTCAAAATATTAAAAGAATTGATTATCTTTTTACTTTAGTTTTAGCCAAAAATTTGAATGTTGTAAATGCATCCAGCAAAACATGAAAAATTGAGCTAATTTTGCACGAATTTTTAAAATTTCAATCGAAACTTAAAAACGCATAAATTTTCCGCAATAACTCACGGGCTACAGAAAATTTCAATCTAACAATCCTTGTTGGAAAATGTAAGGTAAATTATCTACCTTGACACAGTGGTGAGCTACCTCATTATGTTTTCGTATGATCATTAGGTAATATTCGATTTTTCTTTTTGATTTTGTACACCAATAAAAATTTGTTATCATTGGATTCATGATGTTTGTTCAATTAATTACATCAGTTTTAGCTATATACATGAGAGATTAAAAGGTATATTAAAACTAAAATAAAGAGTTTGTATTTCGGTTCTTACACCAAAAGAATGAAAATTTATTTTTTATGGAGATTTACTTGTATTACATATGAATTAGATATAATTTTTGTAGTGGCTTACACATATAAGTCATGATTTGATAGTTTAAATATTTCTTTACTTATGCCACTCACTACTTCATCAAACAATGTGGCTTACTTTTCTTGTTTTTTTCCTTTTCTTTTCCGATTCAATGAGGAAATTGATTGTAGAATCACTAACTAATCAACAAATTAGAACAGTAACACAAACACACTTCTTGGTGCGTTTCTAGTTGGCTAAGCTAGTTTTGTGTTAACAAGTAATTTTATTAATAAGAGAATACAAAATCTAGAGTCATTATTTTAGAACGAGACACTTATTAAGGTTCGTTCTAGAGTCTCAATTTTATTCTAACACATAATTCAAAACTTATATGAGTATTCATTTATTTTTGAAGAGTAGTAGAAGTTGGAGCTTGAGCGCGAACATGATCTTGATAAAAAACAAGCAACTCATCAATTCTTGAAGGTAGATATTTCTTGACTTGACTGCAATTAATATACTCATCTCTCCAAGCACAAAAATTTGGAAATTCTTCATTTGTTGCTAATACAACTCCAGATGCTTCTTCGAAAACTCCCATCCAAAGTCCCACCAAATTTGTAGCCATATCAGCATAACCAAATTTGTTACCAACAAAGTACTTGTCACATCCCAAAAACCGGATGTGATGGCACGTGTCCATTTCCCACCGGACACGTCAGCCTAACCCAACCACAACGATAGAGAAGTAGAAATACTAGAATAAAAGATAATAAATAAGCGGAAGACTTTAATTGAGACTCAACACTACCCAGAATTTGGTTGTCACATGTACAAACCTCTAAATACAGAATTCGAATAAAAATATACAAGTCTCAAAGTATAGTTCTCGAATAGAACAAAACTGAAAGTAAAGATAACTCAAGGGCACGTCTGGAATGAACCGCAACCTCTCGAGTATGTCCCGAAGCTCAATTTGCTAAAGAAAAATACTAAGCCGAATCTGAGAGAGCTGTCAACCTACACAATTGTGTAGAAGCAAGGGTGAGTACCGAAAACCACATGTACTCGCAAGAACTCTAAACTAAGCAAAACTAGCAGCTACAAACAACTCCTTTCAATCCCAACCAAACCACCGAAACTTCAATCTAGCAGCAAACCAACCAACCTATACTAAACATATCATATTCAACAGCCAGAACCAACAGTATATCCTCATCAACCTCAGATCAACAAATAAGAGCAAGTAGATCAAATTCCATATAAGAAGGGTAAACCGATACAATCCACACATCACAGACAAAGATAAGGCAAATGCGATGCAAAATACAAAAATGATGTCAAGTAGTCGTGATGCATGTCTGTCCTACGATACACATCTGTTGACGTAATCAGTCCGCGCTGAATACTCAAATCAGAACCCATGGGGGCCACACATGGACCATGTATCACCGCCGGAACCAGATCCCATCGGCATCCAAATCGCTAGCCGGAGCTAGTCCATCTCATATATCTCTAGCCGGAGCTAGTCTCAACTGTGTCTCATATCCATCCATCCTCATATCAGTGTCTCAGAACTCATGCAACAGATAGTTCACACATGGGATGAATAATGAATATGCACATGTCATCAATCACAATCATATCACGATCACATCATAGTATTACACATCATATGTCTCAATCACAACCATATCACGGCCACATCATAGTATTACACATCATATGTCTCAATCACAACCATATCACGGCCACATCATAGTATTACACATCATATGTCTCAATCACAACCATATCACGGCCACATCATAGTATTACACATCATATGTCTCAATCACAACCATATCACGGCCACATCATAGTATTACACATCATATGTCTCAATCACAACCATATCACGGCCACATCATAGTATTACACATCATATGTCTCAATCACAACCATATCACGGCCACATCATAGTATTACACATCATCTGTCTCAACATCAATGTCAAGTACAATC